GTGGGGATGCTTAACGTTACTTCGGGTGTGCCTGCAAAAGGCTCCCAGTGATGCCTGCCACGAAGACTTGGTGACAGCCACAAGCTGTGACAGCCTCCAGGGACCAGAGCGACCTGTCAAAAGTCCAGTATTCTCTGACCAGGTTTTTTAAGATAGTCAAGAGTTTAGTGCAGTTTACTTCTTTGAGACTATCTGCATTTTCAGGGGGGTTCATTTAGTAGGGTGATACAGTAATCACAGTATAAATACACATTACGTTTTGCAGACTATTGCATTTCCAGTATACTGTGGAATTACAGTACAGTTGTGAATCTTATTACTGGTCTGTAGAATATGCTAATTGTCACAACACTGGCTGCTCCTAATTGTGGGCTGCAGTCAGCTGAAGCCTGGAGCTCTGTCTTTACAGAGCTCCTTTGTTCATTGCTTTTGGCATTTTTGTACTTACTGTTGTGATAAGGCATATACACACTCCCTATGCTGGTCTGCTTGAGTTTATTGCCATGGAATCTGCAATGAGAACTCTGTGTCCTATCTCTTCCCACCTCCTGCCTGTACTCTATGCTTCTTGCTGTAACTTCTCAAGGGGTTCAGTGTAACACCAGGCCTGTACTTCTCTCATGAAATCATTGTGCTAGTGCTGCAAATATCTCACTTGACATAGAACAAGTGGTTCCAACTGTTCTGTTTATAAATTATGGTCTGGACAAAGATAAGGAAAGAGAAAACAAGCAGCCGTATCAGCCATATACATCTAGTTGTCACAGCAAAAACAAATACATTTGCAGGCAGCCCAAGAAAAGTTCACACAGAGCAGGCTTCACAGCCCCCAGCCTGAGGCCTTGTAAAGTCAGTACAGAGTTGAGCCATCACTTGCTAAGTGCTTCACATAGATGATTTAAATCACAGAACTCTTATACTTGTAAATTTACTATGATGAGGAGTAGAGCCAAGCTGCAAACATATGCAGCTAAAGAGACCTGTCCAACAGGCACCATGGTGGGGAAGTTCTTTACTCCCTTCTCACTTCATGGGTCTGGCAAAGTGAGCCATACATACATGGAACTTGAAGGTACAACCACTGTGGAGAGAGGTTCTTCTGGCAGGACAGGTAGCTCAGCTCCTGTCATTTGCCTCAGTTTGTGGTGTTTGCAGCAGGTAGATGGAGCCACAGCAGGCAAAGTCCTGTGCTAAGAGAATGACATGGCTCTACAGAAAAGTGCAAAATAATCTAAATACCTGTTACAGAAATCCTATGGTGATAGCATTAAACAGAGCTAATGCATGCACAAGCTCACAAGCTGTATTATTTTAACAGTAACACTAGTTAGGGCTATACTGATCTGCTTAAGGTCATTCTTTGAACTTCTCCTGAAGTTTGCTGTCCTGATGAACATGAGGAGATAAAACCTGGACCGCTGCTGGGAACAGAGCTGCTTCTTTGTGAGTCACACCAAGCAGTGCAGTAATTGTTTCTGTTTCTTCTGGGCATGTCTACACAGTTATGGTAGTGAAGCCCTGGGTATGGAGCAGAAGCTTAACACTTTCACCTCCTGTTCCCAGTGCTTTCCTAGAAGATGAGCATGAGATGGAGAGTAACTCAGGCAAACTGCAGAGGATGCTTGCAGTATGCAAACCTCAACAGCTGAGAGGCAGTTCAGGAAAGTGTTCCTGGGCATTTCTCAGCTGTTGGTAAATGAGACACAGCGCTGGGAAAGCTTGCCTTCAGTCTCGCGTGAACCATGGTCTGGTGGTTGGGATAATTGGGGCTAGGCAGGGGCAGCTTGGTGAGCTGTCTTGCTCTACTGAACTCTGGGAATACATCTCTTTGTGCAAGTCCCTCAGCTGTGCAGCATACTCTTGCTGGAGACCAAGCCTAAAACGGGAAACAAATACAGACAGTTACTTGCTCACAGTGATTTAGTTATACTTGTATCTTCCTTAGCCCTGTGCAGACAGGTGAAGAGCAGTGGAAACTTGGGGGAGATCTCACCATCTTGGGTAATATCAAGCACTACTACACAGTATACAGGGCCCTGTATTTGCCCACAACATTGAAATGTTTTCACAATTTTCAGTAAACGCACACAAGAAAATCAATAAATGCCTGGAGGTTAAGGTAAGGTTTGGTTTGCAAAGGCTGCAGTGGCCCTCTGTCAGTGAGAGCAGGTGGATGGGCAAGTTCACCTATGGAGCAGTCTCTCGCATCTCCAGGACTGAGACAAAAACCTGGACCAAACACATTTTGCAACACCTTATGTACCTTGGTAATCGAGTACGCCACCTTCCTCTGATAGGAGGTTCCTGCTATGGGAAGGGCACTCGACACAGCTGTGGGAGCAGCTCCTTTTCCCAGCCCCCTAACCCCTGACGTTCACTGGAGGGCTAAACCCCGTGCCTAGAGCAGGGCAGGTACCCAACACTGCTGTCAGCAACAGGGCAGTGCTGGTTGGAACACTTCCCTTAATGCTGCAGTGTTCATGAGGTCCTCTTACTATTGCAGCATGGGTGATGGGCAGGCAAATGCAGAAGAGGACTTTGAATGCTTTTAGTATCAAACCTTTAATACCAAGTTGAGATTCATACATTTGTCTAGCACATAATGTATCCACAGTGAGTGGGTCCAAACAGGCGCAATGGACTTCCTGGGTCTTTTTCTTCTAACCGCCACTTCTTCTCACTCTGCAGCTCTGTTCACCTCCTGGCAGGTAACTGCCACCATTTTGTGTGAGGTAGCTGCCATTTTGTTCAGTGTTGCAACCCTTCTTTCTTGGTACCAAGAAGTGGTCAGATACAAAAATACATACATTTATATACAATGCATACAATATGTATATAGTTAGAAATACATGTGTAAAGGAGTAGAGTAATATGCATTTTTATTTATATATAGATGTGTTGATACATTCTTACAGAGGTATATAAATTAAATATTTACAACTGTAAACCAGGTGTAAAATATAGAGACCAGACTTTATTAAGGTAATGGAATGGATAATTAAAAGTCTATAAAATGTAATTAAGAAAAGTAAAATGCCCTCCAGGGGCAGTAAAATGCCCTCAGGCCCTCCACTTTGCATGGCTGCACAAAAAGTATTGACCTGTTGGGTCTGGGGACCACCTAAAAGGTGGCACAGAGAAGTTTGGATGTGCCTGAGGACTACAAAGCTCTCTGAGATGACCATAAGGAAGGCATAGGCATGTGTATGGGGACAATATCAAGATTGTCCTGTTAGACAACAATTACTGCAAGGCTTTGGGGACAGACCGCAACCCTGTGCCCTGAGGTATCAGAGCTCCTTCAGAAAGGGCAAGTGGATCAGTATGAGTGATGGGTGTTGCAGACTTTTCAGCTCAGACCATTATTATTTTGGGGCCCAGAGCAGCAGGATGGCAGCGATAAAATGGCTGGTGAAGCTTTTAGTTTTGAATAATAGAGATTATACTCTGCATTTTTCTGTGAGTCTCTTGGTGCGTATGGCTGTGTGGGATCTGACAGATACAGAACTGCTGAGCAGGGCAAAAGGCCTGCGTGGCAGACAAGTGTGGTCTGTACACAGAAGGGTCACACCAAGCCAAGTCCCCTTGTCTGAGGATGTGCTACAGGATCACACGCACAGCATCTTCTTGTCTGAGGGGATTTCTAGACAACAGTCTCAGATATGCTAAGGCCTTTTCCTGTTGAAACACATGCTGAAGGAGTGCACAGGGGTGGACACTGAGCAGGGCTGGTGGGTGAAGCTGTGGGCTGTCACAGCCTGGGACTGCTCCTAGGCATCTCTGGAGCATCTCTGAATCACTGAGACAGAAGAGGGGTTCTTGGCTCCCCAGGTGATGTTGCATACCTGCTGTGTACCGATTTGCATTTAAGCACAGGCAAGGCTGCCCTTCCAACCTCTGACACCACTGGCAGGCTTTTTGCATAGCCGCTGTCTGATTCCTAAGCAGGAGCTCCTCAAGCGGCAGAGCTGTCTGTCCCTCGCAAGGAGAGGGCCTCCCTCCAGTGGCTGTATGTTGAGCCAGCCCAGTGCAGATGCTGAGTGTGCAGAGGACTAAGAGGAGGAGAAGGATGAGCACTGCTGGGGGGCAAGATTGTTGCTGAAGTTTGTCATTCCTTGCCCATATTTCCCGCGGCTGTTTGAGTCAGCCTGAGAGACTGAGGGGAGCTCTGAAGCAAGTTGTTGCTGCTTAGCAACAATGAGGGTAACAGTGCTGGGCCTGAGGGCCCCCCTTTTCAGCCTGTACCACCACCACTGCTCATGGCTGAGGCCCACATAGAGAGTCCCTGAGATCACAGTCTCTCATTTTTTACTCATGGTCTTTTTGGGTGTCTGCCTGTGTCCTTGGAGCCCTGGAGGAGAATGCATCCAGCTACCCTGCAGGCTTTTAGCAGTTGAATGGCTCAAAAGCTTGGGCTCGCATCTCCTCCGTGAGGTAGTGCACACTGTGTGTGTGTTCTGGGGGGTTACCAATGCAGCGTTCCTGCAACCATTCAGGGGATGGCTGTGGCAGCAATGCTGGGCTGCACCAAGGGGAGGTTGAGGCAAGAGATCATGAAGGAGGCAAGGGAGGTGGCTGTGGGCTTGCTCAAGGTGGGGCTGCTGTTGACACCCAGCGCAGTGACTGTAGGACAGTCTGTGCAGCATGGTGGCTGGCTCTTACACACAGCCTTATCAGAAAGAAATGGTAGATAAAGCAGATGATGCCTTCTTACAACAAGCTTCACATTTGCAAGATTTGATTCTCATGGAGGACTTGAGTCACTGCCATACCTGCTGGAGGGAACAAGACAGCCAAGCATGAGCAATCCAGGATGTTTCTGGGGTGCGCTGATGACAGCGTCCTGACATAAGTGAGGAGCTGATGAAGGGAGATGGTCTACAGGACCAGATTTTCACAAACAAGGAAGAACTGCTTGGGAATGTAAAGGCTGGGGAGAACCCCTGGCTGCAGGGATCATGAGAAGGTGGTGTTCAGGAGCCTGAGAGGAATAAAGCAAATAACAGTATCAACAAGCCAGAACATCAGGAGAGCAGGCTTTGTTCTCTTCAGGAATCTGCTTGGAACTCTCATGGGATACAGTTCTGGAGAGAAGAGTGGTCCAGGAGAGGTAGTGGGTTTTCAAGGGTTGCCTCCTCCAATCTCAAGAACAGACCATCTCAACAGTTGGGGCTGGGGGGAAAGCAAGGTTGCAGAAGGCACGTGTGGATGAACAAGGAGTTCGTGGCTTACCTCTCCAATTAGAAGCTTGTGCACAGGAGGAGGAAGCAGAGTTGTGTGAGGTGGAAGCAATGTAGAGATGCTGTCCAAACGTGTAGGAATGTGGTTAGGAAAACTAAAGACTATCCGGACCCAATTCTGAGAAGGAACATGAAGGGCAGCAGGGAAGGTTTCTACAAGTACATCATCAGCAAAAGGATGGCTAGGGAAAATGTATGTCTTCTGAGAAATGGTAACAGGGACCTGGTCTTAAAGGACATGGGGAAGGCTGAGACACTGAGTGCCTTCTTTGCCTTGGCCTTCACAGGTAAGACCAGCTGCGAGTAATCCCAAGGCTACTGAGACCAGTGAAAAAGTGCAGGACAAGGAAGATTGACCTCAGTGTGGCAAGATTAGTTTAGGGAACGTTTCAAAGAACGGGAAGTGCACAAGTCCGTGGGTCTCTTGCAGTGTGCTCATAGGTGCTCAGTGAGCTGGCTGATGTTACAAGAGCACTCTTGATTATCCTGGAAAGGTCATGGTGGTTTCTGGGAGGCCTGAAAGGGAGGAGGTATCTGCCTTACTTGCCCAAGGCGGGGCTGTTGTTGATGCCCAGCGCAGTGACTGTAGGACAGCCTGTGCAGCCAGGGGCACTGTGCTGTTTCTTGGGTCAGTGGGGCAGAGGCCCCTCCTCATGGTCACGGCGGTGCTGGGGCCCTGGCGAGCCTTTGCAGGAGGAGCAGTGGCAAAGTGAAAGGCTGTGGCTCGCCAGTGTTGTAAAGTGAGATGGTCAGCCTGTGGGATGAGAGTGACAGAGCAGGTTGTTTGTTGGTGGGGCCCAAGCTCATGTGGGAAGGTGACAGAGAGGCTGTGCTGGCTGCTCTGCTCTCTGCTGCAAAAGGAGAGGGAGGTCTCCAAGTCTTTGTTGGCAGCTGAAGCCTTGACTGGCATGATCCAGCAGTTTGAGGCATGGAAGCGGCTGGAAATCCTTGTGCAGGCTGTGGATGAGCTTGGGCCTTACTGACTGCTTTCCCTCTGTCCCCTTCCCGCTCCCCCAGGTCATTTGCCATGCTGTTGCTTGCAGCGAGACTGAGCCAATTGCTCAGCTGGTGGCCCGGCAGAGGAGTTCCAAGAGGAAGACGGGACGGCAAGTGAACTGCCAGATGAGGCTGAAGAACACGTCCCCAGTCAAGCTGGCGGGTGAGCCACAGGCAGCAGTGGAGGGTCTGCCTTTGTGAAAGGGGTGTGCAGCTGCTGGAGCAGAAGTCTTCCCTGTGAGGCTGTGTCAGTGATGGCCAGGAATTGTGTGGTCCTGGTGAAGAGCTCCTGGGAGCAGGCAGTGTTGTTGATGAGGGTGCTTGTGCTTGCAGGCCCTGATCGGTAGGAAGCCCTTCTTGAGCAAGTAAGATGCAAGTAAGACCCAGAGCCTCTGGGTCTTTCCCTCCCTGCTGTTGTGTTGCTGCCAGCGGCATCTCCCAGCATCAGGCCTAGACAAGGCCCATCTGCTTGCGAGTAGGCAGCTTTGCTGTCAGCAACAGTGGGCCTCATAGTTTGTTTGTGTTCCCCTGTTCTTGTGTGTAAGGAGGGGTTCGCTTCCTTACAGAAGGAAAGGGGTGGGAGAGAGCAGCCTGACCATGGGTCGCACCTGTAAGGTGGAAGGATGTGGCATCTCAGAGTAAGTGTCTTTTCTGAGAGTGTAAGGGGAGATGGGTCTGCAGTCTCTTTCCATGCTGCAGTGCAGTGGTGGAGATTGTGAGTCCTTGGATGCGAGCCACAGTGCTGAAGCAAGGAGACCCAAGACCGTGGTTGAGAGCATCCTTTCTAACTGTGTTTTGGAGAAGTATGGATTCTGTGGGGAGAGTTACCTGCTGTGCTTGAAGTCTGTTTGGGTTGGGTGGAGGAGGGCATGAGCTCACAGCTGTGTCTGCAAACTCCTTAGGAAAGCCCAAAGGAACTTTGAGACAGCCCAGGTCTTTGAGCGTGGCAGAAGAAGGCAGCAAGAGGCCTGTTCCTCGCTTGCCACGAAGCAGAGGAGTGGCGGGTGGCGTGGTGAAACCCACTGTGGAGAGTGCCCGTCTTGCCTTGTCACCAGGTGCCGGGAGTGGACCACCTAAAGAAATGCCCATGCAGAGACACGTCACTGTGGTCAACAGGTCAGTGTATGTGCGTGTGTGAGGTGAAATGAAGTGTGGTGGACTCTGGATGGTGCCGTGCCGGCAGTGTGTTTTGGGACGTGGGAATCGAGGCACCTGCCTTGCAGAAGTTGGACTGTGGGTCAGAAGCCAGGAGGGAGGTGGGTGCCCTTTGCCTTTTGGATGCTGCCGTCGCCACCCTGTGCTCTTGGCTGCTCCCGTGTCTTCTGGGGAGCAGTGTGGCCAAAGGTGGCCCTCCGAGGGAGGGGGGAGGTTGCTGTTCCCCAGGCGCAGGAGGGGGCTGCTGTGGCCAGTGCAATGGAGCACGGGAGGAGGTTTGCGTGTAGTGATGAGCGATGCTGTGTGTTGAGGGTTGGGGCTGTCTGCAGGTGGCCGCTCTTTACCTCTCCACTTCTCAGTGGCAGCGTTGGTGTTTGGGACCCTTCTTGGGGCGCTGGAAGTCAGCAGCTGCCTGCCTGTGTCTGAGTGAAAGAGGCGAGGGCTGGAGCTGCCTTTGTGCTGGGTTAGCGGTACATGCTGCTTTCAGCCCCTTTGAGCCTCTCTAATCCGGGGGGCTTATCCAGTGCTGCCCCATCAGCTCTCTGCTGTGTTGTTCTGGGCCTCCCAGGGCCATCAGCTGACGGTGGTGAGAACGCGTTTGCTGCTCCCCCATTGTGGCTGCGCTGAGTGCGCTGGAGCCGTGATTGTGGCAGTAATCCTGTGCCGGTCACCGGGCTGGGTTGTGAGCCAGCCTCCAGCTTTGCCTTGAATGGGAACCACGGTGGAGCTGTGCAGGGGCACGGAGCAGAGGGATGGGTTAATCCTGCCGCGGTGCCGCTTGTTCTGGAACACCCCCAAAAAGCAGACGTGTCCTGTGCCCGTTGCCTGCATGTACCCTGTGTGTGCCAGGGCTCTGGGTGCCGGGGGGCAGATGAGGATGTGCTCAGAGCTCTCGTGGGAGCAGCAGCCACGTCAGGTTTCGGTTTATTGTTGGCTGGTAGCGCTGCCTCGTACCCTCCTGCTGCTCCCCCGATTGCCCTTTGCTGTGGCTGTTCTCTGCTAGTGGTGCTCTTTGGGCAGTTCCTGGTGGTGCTGATGCTGATTGAGTTGGCCGGTGCCTTGGGGATGGGGAGCAGCCTTGGGGCTGCCAGGGGGATCTCTAGAGCAGGGTTGCTCTTGAGGGCAGGAGACACTCCTGTGTCCATGGGCACTTGCACTGTGGCTGCAGCAGATGCTCTTTGGACTTGCCCAGGCATAAATCTGGAGGAGTTAAGAGGCAGGTGGTGTTGGCAGCCTGAGCCAGATGCTGTAGAGCTGAGACGGGCGAGAGGGGAGCAGTGGCAGACGGGAGGAAGCCAGAGGAGCCGGCAGAGGGCCTATGAAGAGTAGAGGGTTTGGAGGTAGAGGCCAGGGAAGAGACATGTGGCAGGTGAGGGGAGCGATGCACCCAGGAATTGTCAGGAGGCTCCAAACGGTCCTCTCTATGTGCAGCACAGCTCTAATGACGCAAGTGTGGACCGAGCTGCCCCCCTTCTGTTGCTTCTGGGTGTGCTGGGTGAGGCTGCACGGGCGAAACTTGTCAGCAGCTCTGTGCCCTCCTTGGCTGAGGAGGCTGCTGTGCAGAGGGGAGAAGGGCCAAGCTGTCCAGCTGTGTAGGAGAGATTTGTTCCACAGGTCCTTCCACCTCAGGTCGCCTTTGAGCTAAGCACTGTGAGACTAATTGCTGAGATGGTGCTGACCCTGCTCCACTTACTTCCCCATGTCTGAGCACCCTGGGGCCTGGCTCTTGGTCTGTTGAGGTCATTGTTCCCCACTGCTGACTGCTAGGCTCGGTCCGGTCCTCACGCTGTGACATGCCATGACCTCCATGTGCTGAATGCTGTGGAATCTGAACCCTTTTGCTGTGAGACATTGTTCCTCCAGCTCACCTCAAGCTCAGCACCATGGCCCTGGCTGCTGCGCCATGCCTTGGGCTGCCCTGTGTCCCTTTGCGGGCAGGTTTCAGGGCCAAATTCCCCATGCCCCACCAGGGACTATGTTCCTTGTTCTCTTTTCTGTGTGGCCACATGGACATATGGGTCACCCCCAGGGCACAGCTTGCCAATGCTTCCCCAGTATTTGTGCCCCCTTCCAGAGGAGAATGGCACCCACACCTTGCTGCTGCTCCTGCAGCAACAGTCCTTGGCAGGGCAGGTCAAAGCAGGAGCCTCTGGGGGCACTGCTGGGAAGAGGCTCAGCTTTCTGTCTCCATCAGGGACAGCCCTGTTGCCTGCTTCCTTCTTGAGTAGGAGCAGAAGCAGCTGGCTGCTCCACGCTCTCCACACTGCAGCATGGCATGGCACCACTGCTGCTCCCAGCACGTGTGGTGGGTGTCTGGGTTCAGCAACATGTCCTGGTGCAGGGAAACACCCTGTGGTGGGGATGGAGAAAGGCACCGTGGAGAAGGCAGCATGAGGGACCACCAAAGAAAGCTTTGGAGACACTGAGAGAGGAGCTACAGAAACCTGTGCCCTCAGCACCCCACCTTACTGCCTTTCTTGTCCTCCCAGAACTGATGATAGCTTTGGAGGAGGATGACTTTAAAGAAACAGAACAAGGTTTTTTGTCAGTGAACCAGTTATAGCATAAGCATTTTTGCGTAACTACAGCACACCATTTCTCTTACAATAATTTTTAACCTGCAGCAATGGCACATCGAGCAACTGGGCAGGAGCTCCTGAAAGCCTTTCCTGGTTCAGAGATGGGTTTTGCTATCCTCGGTCTGAAAGCAAGAGGGCAGCAACCTCCATTTTAACAGTTGACAGTGCAGTTGACAGCGAAACCATAAAGCTGTGCTCAGCAGCGAATAGCTTTGTTCGTATATAAAAAACAACTGCCAGAGTGAAGGTCCCTGTTTTAGTAGTTCAATGGCACGGATTTGTTTTGTGCCAGCACTTAGCATGAAACTTGGCAAACACCCAGAAAGATACTTAACAGAAACTAAAGCGGCTCCCTGTAACAGGCAGATATAACTCAGATTTTGGACACGTTTTAGCATGTTTGAAGTTTATGACCAGAGCTGCTGACACAGCACAGCTAAAAACGTGAAGAGATTGCAAAAAAGTCCACACAGTGTTCATATAAACCCCAAAAAAGTCTGGGGAAAAAAAAAAAGAGTTAAATGTTGCTAGAGGATAGCAAATACGGCAAGCCATACACAGCAGTGACATAGGAGTGGAAAGGAAATGGGTGACAAGGAGTTAGGAGGAGGATGGAAGTCCTCCAGTAGGAATCAAAGGTTGGGAAGCTGAGGTGGAAGAATGCAGGAGAAAAGGCATCTCCCAGTTGACTGAAGCAGGCTCCCTTGTGTAACAGGGAGGCTCTGATGGAGGCTCTTCAGTTCTGGCATCTCCTAGGTGAGGTCTCTTTTCACACTTTGGCTGCAGATGTGCCGAGACTCTGTCAGACAGCTTCCTCAGTGTCCAGGAGTTCTGTTTGGACCAGAGATAATCCGGGTGCAGCTGTGGGGACTGTGGCTTATGAGACAGAGTTGTAGGACACCTACGACCAGCTCTGCTCCATGGTTTGTACTTGCAGATGAGAGGATGCCAAGCCATCCTGTTGTGATAGAGAACTGTGTGAACAGGGCCTTCAACATAAGGCTGTGTAGTGGCACATGAAAGTGGGTTAGGTTTCAACTTGTTTCAACTTGTCCAATTTGAAGCAGGACTATCAAGACCCATGGCTCATGTCCTTGCTGCTGGGGATATTTTGTGCTCCCAGAGCTGCTGTAGTTGCCTGTGCTTTGGGCATTGCAGGAGGGAAAGCTGCTTTGAGCCATGAGGTCCTGACCTCAAAGCAGTGTGTAGATGAGCGGAGGTGTGAGCAGCATCCCTGGGCATGGTGGGCTCACACCAGCTTTGTGAGTGGCCAGCACAGAGCTGGGGCACTGCTCCAGCAGCACGGCCAGCACTTGATGTGAGAGTGGCTGCTTGTGGTAATTAATCAGTTTGATTGCCTGCACAGGTTGGGTGAGGCAACCCCAGAGGGGTCAAAGTCTGTCCCTATCCCATGTCCCAGTCTGGTTTGAGGCGCTGTGTGCAGTTTTTCTGGGTGTGTTTTCTGGCTCCTGCCCTGACCCCCTCTTACTACAAAGGCATGCTTGTATTTACAAGTCAGCAGGCTCCTGGTCAGAGCATTTGTCTGGCCAGACTCTGTGCCTGATCCTTGCAGGCTGTTCTACCTCATTAAACTCTGTCTATAACTGTTTTTTTGTTCTTGTTTTCCTTCTCTCTTCGATCTCCTAGCAGGCTTTTAAGCTGGTTTTCTGCACAGACCAAGAGTATAGTGCCAGTTACAAGAGAGGCCTGGGAAAATTGAGAGAAACAGAGATTAATTCAGTAGTGAATTCTGAACCTCATTAGTTGGTGAGAAGGCACAGGGTTGGCCCATTTGTATTATTCACGTTGATGCTGCTTGCCTGTATGTGAGTGTCTGCAAAGGCTGCTGTATGTCTGGGTTGTTTGCAACAGGCTGGTCCTGGGAATGAGGAAATACAGCCATTGCCACCATGTGTCCCAGCACTTGGTCATGCAGCCCCAGCGGGAGGAATCCCCTGTATGCTACTGCCCACCTTCTTCACAACAAGAACGCATCTGTTTCAGAGGGCCAAAGTTGTCCTCTGATGGCCAATCTGATGTCCAGAATGCCCCCAGATATCCCTCAGTTTAATTTTCTTCTGACTTAATCATTGGTCTAAAAGGTTTTTTGCTTAGCTGAGCTTCAAAGTGTATTTGTCTATCTGGTGACTGAACCCGCTTGAAAGTCAAACTGGGATTTGTTGTGACCAATCCTCTTTCCCGGGGACACTAGTTCCCCTTGATGGGAATGTGGCATGGCCACATTGCAAGGCACAGGCCTCCAAGAGTAGGAGGGAAGGGACTGCTGGAAATCATCCACTCTGCCTGCAAACCAGATCCTTGCTGTTCTCTCAAGCTCAGAGGAGGGCAGGGGTAAAATTCCCTGGCCAGTCATCATCAGTATAGGCAGAACATCATGGCATCCTGGAAGCACCTGAGTTCCTGGACGCATATTGAACTATGAAGATACTAATCTTCCACTGAAGACTATGGTGCCTCATCCTGAGATGTCAGGTAACTTCACCTGGTACCTTTTCCACCACAGGCCACTTCAGGTGTACTTAAACATGGGATGCAACCCTCTGGCTACTCAAACAATCCCTTGTCCCCTGAATCCCTCCCACAGTGGATTTCTGGAGCCCCAGTTAGGAAGCTCCTCCATTTGCATTTCCTCTCCTTCTTTTCCTGTTCCCTTTGACAGTCAGAGCACTCTCATTAGGCTTGAGTAAAGGCTTTGAGGCCTCCCTAAGATGGGTAGGATTGAGGATGTGCCTTTATGTTCACTAAGCAACTTTACAGGAAGCTTCACATGGCACCTGCCCCACAGCGTATGTCTACTGGCTGCCTCCTGCAGGCAGGTTGTGGGGGCCATGCATACCACTTCGAGATGTCAATGCTAGAGCCTCTAGCAGTGCTCTGCTAAGGAGGAGAATCACTTCATCACTGCATGCTTCTTCCCAGGTACTGGAGAATTAGATCACACTCCCTTTCTCTTTTAGGACTGTGTACAAGGATGAATGTTTTGGTCATGCAGCTTGAAAAACAAAGTTTACCTACTGCACTGCATGCTGTTGTCTTGCAAAGATGCATCACAAGCCCACCTGCAGCAGTGGGAGGATTTCATCACATTCTGCACCCACAGTGAACTGAAGACCTGCAGGGTTTTACTCCTGGACAGCCTGGCTGGGTCCTGTAGTTGCTTTAGTTGAAACAGTGTTGGATTGCAACGTGTGACAGTTGAAAAGAAGTGCATGCAATGTGAAGAGCAGTATGTAACACCACTAGGACCTGAAAAAAGTGTAAGTGCCAATTGGCTTTTCCCAGTTAACAAAGAAAGGGCAATTCTTCTTCCATTTTTAAGGCAAGCTAGTACACCTAAAGCTGTTAAATCATGAACACTTCAAGGTTTGGATCTATTGTGCTGGGGCTTTTT